GTCTGTGAGGAAGAGGAACACATTTTGTTGCCTCATTGCAGGTGGGAGGAATGAGGCAGAAGAGCGAAACACTCAAGTTCACGGGGGAAACTGGCACCAGACGAGTGATTTCTGCTCCTTGGTTGCAAGGCTCCTGCACCTCTGGGCTAAGTGCGGATTGCAGTTGATTTTTCCAACATAAAGCAAAGCTCAGTTCTCTGCTTGTGCCAGCTGAGCTTTTCCTCCGTGATGCTCGTGGTTGGTTTTGTGCTTAGGTGAACTATCAGTGGACTTCTGAACTTTTATTTGAAGCAAGAGAAGAGGCAGAGGGACGGTGGCTGCCGCATCCCCTGCTGAAGAGCAGTGGCCGATTTGTGGCAGAGCCTCGGCGCTGGGAACGGGGGACGAGCACGGCTGGGAGCTGGGTTTTTCTCCGGCAGAGAAGTGAGGTGGCCTGAGCTGCTCCGTGTCACCGCGGTGTCCCTTAATGCCGTGCCGGAGGCTGGCTGTGGAGGAGGAGAGGAGGCTGGACAGGTGCCCCCACGCCAGCAGCACCGCTCCTGATGCGTCTCTGCGATGGCTTTTTAAGGCCATACGTGCCCAGCTGGTGCTACTGTGAAATCAATTTCGTAAATACATTTGGTTTGGAACTTCATCGGTCTCCTTCAAGCTGTGATTTACTCAAAGACTGATCAGATTAAATCAGTAGGTTGCAGTGACTATAAAACATTTACATTGCCTTTCAGAGACGCTGCACATTGATTTCTAGAGAGCAGAAGTGGCATGCAGGGCTCTCAATCCGCGGGTTTCTGTGGCACTCTTGGCAGATCGGTCTCCGATGATCCTTCTTGCTTATCGCGCGCGTTAGAAACAAAGGAGCTTCAGTGGTGCCAAGCCAAGTCCGTAAAATATGGGCACTTGTCTGGTCTAGGCCAGACTCTGAAGAGGGGAGCGCTGGCACAGCCCGCAGTGGTGACGTCGCGTGGGGACGTGGGCAGCTCTGCTTGGCAGAGCGGGGCGGCTCCGGGGCCGGAGGCCGTTCGGGTGGTGGCGGTGGCTTGGCTCGGTGCCGTCTGTAGGGCGTCACAGCCAAACCGGAGCCTCGTTTGCCATGCGGTGTCGTGACTCCAGCGATGTTGGCTCCCCTCCCAGCAGTGTCCTGGGGTGCGGGGCAGGGTGGCAGGTCCCTGGCTCAGGGACAGGGGACTCCTGCCTCGGCTGATGCCAGCGCTTGTCCCTTCCTCTTCCGCAGTTTTTGAAGAGCCCGAAGACCCAAGTAACCGGTCGTTTTTTTCCGAGATCATCTCCTCAATCTCTGATGTCAAATTCAGCCACAGTGGGAGGTACATCATGACTCGGGACTATCTCACCGTCAAGGTGTGGGACCTGAACATGGAGAACCGGCCCATCGAGACCTACCAGGTGAGCGCGGCACAGCTGGGCACCTGCGGCGGTCAGGCACTGGCACGCGCCGCGCTCCCGCCCGGGCTGCACTCCCTGGCCGGGGGCAGAGGGGACAGGGA